ATTATAATGCCCCCACGGCTGAAAGGGCGAGCATATTAGGTGTGACGGGGATTCGAACCCGCGACCCTCAGATTGCGAGTCGAGTACCTTAACCACCTGGCCATGCCGGGCCCTCTACAGGTAATACCATATAAAATGCATGCAGTGACGGATAAATCGTGATTATGAACAAATTGTTCTATAGGTGGATTGAAAGAATTTCAATTTCAACATATTGTCATTATGCTGTGTTACCACTTCCTAATATTTGTTTTTACAAAAGACAAACAATGAAAAGAAGAGAGCTAGATAAAAAAATGGCGTAATTTGTATGTGTGCGTTAAGTATCATGGACCTGCCCTTATTGATTGGGTACCTCCAATATTTCTGTTGTGTATTTCGAAAGTAAAATATAATATATATATATATAATTTCTTCATCAAAAACGTACACAAATGTGTGTGTGTGTGTGTGATCAGTTCTCTATCTAATTATATTTTACCTATTTTTTTCCAGGATCTGCTTCTTCTTGAAGAACAAGAGGTAATACAATTTCCAGCCTTTCTTTCCTTCGCTTTTTTTCTTAATCTTTTGAAATTGAAGAATATTTTTGTTTTTGTTTCATAATTTAATTTGTTTTTTTTTTATGAGAAATTCTATATCCTAATATATAAACCAGAGTAGACGGTCTATCTGGTCTCTTCATGTCACTGTAGTTGTTATGAGAAATTCTATATCCTCATATATAAAGCAGAGTAGACGGTCTATCTGGTCTCTTCATGTCACTGTAGTTGTTATGAGGAATTGACTAGGCCAGTTTCAATAAATTATGTGAAACCTCCAAAGTTAAATAATTCAATTTTTACTACGTGAGAGTTAAATGGTATATTTTTGGATTTTTACTACGTGAGAGTTAAATAGTATATATTTTAATTTTTACTACGTGAGAATTAAATAGTATATATTTTAATTTTTACTACGTGAGAGTTCAATGGTATGATGTATATTTTAATTTTTACTACGTGAGAGTTCAATGGTATATATTTCAATTTTTACTACGTGAGAGTTAAATAGTATATACTTCAATTTTTACTACGTGAGAGTTCAATGGTATATATTTCAATTTTTACTACGTGAGAGTTAAATAGTATATATTTCAATTTTTACTACGTGAGAATTAAATAGTATATACTTCAATTTTTACTACGTGAGAGTTCAATGGTATATATTTTAATTTTTACTACGTGAGAGTTAAATGGTATATATTTAATTTTTACTACGTGAGAATTAAATAGTATATATTTAATTTTTACTACGTGAGAGTTAAATGATGTATATTTAATTTTACTACGTGAGAATTAAATAGTATATATTTAATTTTACTACGTGAGAGTTAAATGATGTATATTTTAATTTTTACTACGTGAGAGTTAAATGATGTATATTTTAATTTTTACTACGTGAGAGTTAAATGATGTATATTTTAATTT